TGACAAAGATACAACGAGCTCAAAAAAAACTAAATTCATTTCTTGAGCGAACAGATAAAAAGGTATTCAGAAGACTTTCAGCTTAGCCCTTAACTTCTTTATTATCGCCTGCAGCAGAAAGTCAAAAGCCGGAGATTATGTTTTTGCCAGTGTGTGTGTGAGTACACCTGTCTGTTAGCAAAATATCTCATCCACCGCTGGACAAATTTGATTAAAACTTGTAGAAAGTAATCCCTTGATGTAGATCTGTGACTGATTAATTTATCAAGTTAGCCCGATTCAAGACGGCCGCCACAGCCAACTCCACCTTAACAAACAAAAAATGGATTTAAATAATTCAGTTTTGCAAATATCGAGTTAAAGTTTGGTGTGGTAGTAGCTGAGAGTCGTTCAGAACAAATAGTTTAAGTGCTACTCATTGTGTGAGATCTTTGCCTTAATCCATATTAACTGCTAGCACCAACCCTGTTTGTCTGTTAGCAAAATATCTCATGAACCACTGAATGTATCTTAAGGAAACTTTCAAAGAGTAATCAATGGATGGACATCTTCGACTGATCAGCATTTGGAGTCAGCCTAATTTATTCAAGATGGCTGCCACAGCTGGCTGATTTTAGCAGGCACAAAACTTGCTGTAACTTTGCCAGTTTAACGAATATTGAGGTAAATTTCAACGTGGTAGCAGCTGAGAGTCATCCCCAACACATACTCTGAGCATGACCGTTGTAGGTAAAGCAACATTAACAGACTAAAGGCCTCCAAAAACCACAAACTGCTCACCTTTCTTCTTCTTCTTCTGATAGGAGTACTTCTTCTCAATCGCGTTGACCTCCTCGGGGGATATGAAGTGACGCACGTTGTAGCTCACCCCCACCCGGTTCAGGTGTCCTCGCACGTGATTGGCCAGCCCGATTCCGTTATGAAATCGATCAGGGCAGTATGGGCACTTCCTCTCTACACTCCTGAGCGCTTCGTCATCCATCTCGACTTCATCCAGCATGCCCTCCGACAGGAAGCGCAGCGCACGCTCGTCATCGTCGTCGCTGTCAGTTTGGGGAGAGGCGGCAGAAATCCTGTTGCTCCTCCTCCTCAAGAAGAAAACCTTCCTTTCTTTCTCGGTTTCCTCTTTGTGCTTTGAGCCCTGCTTGGCAGGTGATGATGACGCAGCAGAAGAGTTCTCTATCAAAAAGATTACATTCACTTTTAGAGTCAACCTGATTCAAGATGGCTGCCACGTCTGTCCAACATTAGCAAACTTAAAATTGACTATAACTCAATCAACTTTGCTGATAAAGAGTTGAAACTTGGAATGGTAGTAGCAAAGAGTCATCCCTAACAACTACTGGAAGTCTCTAAAATGTCCTGCTAGATGCTGCGTAGACTGTGGACTTCAGAGAACACAGTGGACCAGCACCAGCAGAGGACATTGTACCACTGAGAGACAGTCCAGTTCTTTGTCTCCTCAGCAGGTAAGATGCTTATGATGTCTCTGGTTCAGGAGTGGCCGCACTTGAAGAATGAGACATTTGTAGCTCATGTCCAGGAGTTAATCAGCTGATCAGGGTGTGACACCAGGAGTTTACAAGACTGAACCTCTGCAACTTCCTGAGACACTGAATTCAGATTTTTTTTTATTATCTGTAAGCTGTAATCATCAAAATCTAAAGAAATAAAAGCTTGAAATATTTCACTCTGAGTGTAATAAATCTATAGGAGTTTCACTTTCTGAAACGAATGACAAAAAATATTGAACTTTTTTCACGATATTCTAATTTTTCGAGATGCAGCTGTACAGCAGACTCACCACGAGGCTAAAATCCAGCTGATTCATTAACATCTCTCACTTTACAAAGAGTGGAACAGCATTTATTGTCAATACTTTATTGTCAATACTTGTGATTCAAAGTAAGATGTAGCCTTGAACTTTATTTGATTTACCGGTATTTATTTATTTTCCTTTTGGGTGCGCACTTCTTCAAGGATAAACTCAACAGACTGACCTGTCCAGACTCCCCGTGCACAGTGTTTATATCATTTTTCATAACTTTTTGAGCCAATTAAAATGAACTATATATTTTTTTGTATTGAAGATTTTTTTGGGGAAGTTATGAATTTTTCTTCACATATGCTGCATAATGCAACGGGACACATGTCTGTAAAATATGAACAAAGGGTCACGGAGCTAAAATTTTATACACCATGGTGACGTTTCCACATGTACAGTTTTGTCCAGCTTGGACCTTTAGGCGTATTTCAGCAAGCTAACTCGCTAAAAGATTTGGTAAATGTTTTACGCCGTTTGCCTTTCCCGATTCATCTGAAGATCACAGCGATACCACAGTCCATGTGGGTGGAGAAGTGAGCTGCCATCTAGGGCACCTGTAGTTTTGGTTGTAGTTTCAATGCCAGGCAGGGTTGCCAGATAAGAAATGACACACTCGTATACTGTCGCTTTAAAATGATTGCATTTTGACCCAAACTGTCTTATGTGCTGAGTGAGGTTAACTTTTCTGGGGGAGGAGCTTGTAAGATGAGTTGTGTTTTTGTAACGAAACATATTTATGTTTATCTGGCAACCCTGACTAGACTCAGGCTCAGCCGCATGCAGTGTCAGCATGATCACTGTCACAGTCAAACTGGTGAATACAAGACTGTTCCATTGGACCTAGGATGTTGTTAGCTTGCGCCTACATGGTGAAATGGGAGAGTAGCACAAAAACACTCTGCTTTCTGACATTTATTGTAAAAAGAGGTGTTGTGTAAACAGGGCCTCAATCTCCTTGTTTATATCTGTGATTTAAACATTTAAATAAATATTATTAAGCAATAACTGGGGTTATTTAGGCAGCAAAAGTAACAGTATTTTCATTTTTATTTTAAAATAAAAAGAAGTTCAACACAGTACCTAAGATGACGGTGATCCACTTTAGTCTTAGCCTCACTCGTGTTAGCTGTTAGATTGTCAATTTTCTCAAAATGAGGTTGTTCAAAGAGTACATCTACAGCAGGTAAGATATTGATTGTTCATAATGTTTCCACTGAACTCCACTTCAAAAGATCTGAATTATCCCTGTAAAGAGTTAATTTAGTCTGGTGGGCAACGTTAAGCCCAGCTCCAAGTCATTTCACCTTGTTGTTGTGTTCTACCACCTCCCAGAGAAAATGACTAACTCCAGTGGTTAAATGCTACTTTGTGTTTGCTTCTGATGACAACTGTGCTGCACCGGGGGAGCTGGGAACGTAGTGTTCAGTTGGAGCTTTAGGAAATCAGGAGCCTGCTGGGACCCAAAAACAACGTTCTAAGAGAGAACAAATAAAAATAAAAATAATGCCTGTAGAGTCACTTAACAAGCTTACATGACAACTTTCAGAAGAATGTTTCTTGGATCCACCTCTACAACATAAAAAGGTTGGAGTCAGCCTGGTTCAAGATGGCCGTCAGAGCTAATCGACCTCAGCAAACATCAAAATGGGTATAACTCTAAAAATGTTATCAATACTGAGTTAAAATTTGGTGTGGTAGTGGCTGAGGGTCATTCACAAATCATATGCTGATACACTAAATGAGTGCATGAGATCCGTTTATAAAACTGCCAGTAACTACTGGTGTCAACCCTGTCTGTCAGCAAAATATCTTACAAACCACTAGATGGACATGAATTAAAAAAAACTTTGGATGCAGGTCTAGAACAGATTAGCTTATGGGGCTGATATACTTCCAAGATGGCCACCACCGCCAACTGACAGTAGCCAACATAAAAATGTCTACAACTCACTCGACTTTACAAACGTTGAGGTAAGATTTGTTGTGGTAGGAGCCAGTGGTGGGCGCAGTTCCACTGATCTGCTAGCAGCTAACAGCAGAACTATTTGTTTAGCTGATTTGCGTTTTCGTTAACTTTGGAAACTGTTAGCTGTATTAGCTTCTGCTAAATCACCGGTAGGTTTAGTCAACATCGCCCGATAACAAAATTCACAAACTTGTTCCTGTCTGTTGTGGGGCGTGCCTCAAAGAGGCCGTAAGGCACGCTATTAGCTTACTACGTGCACGCGTGACAAGACGTGATTGGTCGACGCAGCTTCAACTGGATGGAGATGAAGACGTGCAACACAGACAGTGACAGTTGTCTGAGCAGTTAGCGGTTTAGCATTAGCTTCTACTATTTTCTTGTACTTGTTTAGCGGTTTAGTGTTAGCAAAGCTACATTTTTAGTTAGCGGAATATGGGTAAGTAAAGCTAACTTTTTGGTTAGCTGTGCCCACCACTGGTTGCAGCTGAGAGTTATTCACTAAATGTACTCTCAGCCTTAAACACCGCGCAATATCTTTGCTTAAAATCTTAGCATTAATGCTAAATATTCATGATGTAAATGGTAAAAGGTAATAGCAACTTTCTATCTTATCAAGACACTCAAAGATCTTTACACTACAATCTGTGCCTCATGTACCCATTCATCCAGCACTCTACGAGATCGATACAAAGAATAATCAGAGCTTTATCACATTCACACACTGATGGGACACACATCGGAGACAATGAGGGGTTCAGTGTCTTACCCAGGGACACTTCAGCTGCTGGTAGAATCGAACCCCCAACTCTTGCATTGGAGGGCGACTGCTCTAAACACTCAGCCACAGCCGCTGTGTGTCCGTTAGCAAAATACCCCCTGAACCACCATACAAAAACTAACAAAAGTCTCAGAAAATAATCAATAGCTGTAATTTACAACACATTCATTTTTGGAGCCAACCCAATTCAAGATGGCCACCACAGCCAATTATACTTACAAAATACAAACATAGATGTATCTCAGTCAGTTTCACAGACACGGCGTAAGAATTGACGTGGTAGTAGCTGAGAGTCATGCCCAGCACAGACTCTGACTGCTAGCATCACTTTAGCTCAACTGTTTGACTGAACGCACCAAAGCTCTGTCGTCTGCATTCCTTCAAGGAGTGCTCGGTCTTTATTGATAACCTGTGTCTGATGTGATTAAATGACCAGTGTCCTCCCTGGTCTACACAGATGAGAATGACTTCAGCAGGTTAAAGTGATCAGTGTGTGTCAAACCCTAACGTTTGAAGAATTTGTCCTACCGGTGTGGCGCTGAGCTCTGCTGTGCAGCCTGCCTCCCATTTGGGAGTCTGCCTCTTGCTGGGATGGATTAAAGCCTCGGCTGTGATCTTGTTCCTGCTCTTCCTCTTCGGTCCCAGTCAGCCTGTCATCCTCCACCTCCGGATCAAACTGGGACAGCTCAGTGGAAGTCCTCCCTCCTGCACCGGAACTCCCTTCGCAGTTGTAGTCCACTCGAGATGCGTCGTCGTCTGGTGTGGTCGTTTCCTCAGATGCGGTGGTTCCTTGAGCTGCGTCGTGCCGGGTCTTGGGCTCGAGAAGGCAATGAGACTCTTTTGACAGCTGTGCACGAGGATTAGATCTTGAAGGTTTTCTGGTTTCATCGTCCCGCTGTCCACCCACGGACACCGGTTCGAAGTGAACGACTGTAAGGTGTTCCTTCAGTCTGGTTGGGCTTGTGGTCAGGAAGGCACAGTGGCCGCACGCCAGGGAGTTGGACGCCCGGTTTAGGAGTTTCTTTCTGTTATGAGTCTTGGAGTGGTTCGCCAGAGCCTGGGCTGTTTTTGTGCTGAAGTTGCACTCGGTGCAGACGAAGCGGCGGCGGTAGCCTGAGGCGGTTCGTGCGTGAGCAGGACTTCTATCTGAATTCAGAGTCGTCACGTCCAAATCTATGACTGCTGAATCCGTGTCCTGTGCTGCCACTAAAGCCGGGGACGAAGGTGGTGATTGGACCATTTCAGGCTCCGACTCCTCGTCTGGACTTGAGAACAGGCCCGTGTGTTGTGCCACAGCTGCCTTTTCTTTATCGTTCAGTTTTTCAATCTCCTCCAGGATCTTCAGACGGGACTCCTGGTGCTTCCTGTGGTGGTCCATCAGGGCTTGGCGGTTGGGCAGGGTCCAACCACACTCCACGCACTGCAAACGGCTGCCCTTTCCCGAGCGCCTGCCTCCACTCTGACAGTGCTCCATCATGTGCTCCTGCAGGTGAATCTGCTTTTTAAAGTAAATGCTACACTCCACACAGGTGAAGACTTCTGCCCCCGACTCCTCTCTTCCATCGTCTTCCTCGGCATTTTCTCTCGTCGTCTCCGCCGTTCCCTCTCCGAAGCCGACTCCCTCTCCGAAGCCGACTCCCTCTGAATCGCAGACCTCTGGGCTCAGCGGTGCCGTCTCATCGGGTATAGATTTATGAGGTCCCGGCGTTGCCAACTTGACGGTCTCTGGCAACGGGTGCTTCGAGATGCCGAGTCCAGAGAAGGGTCTGAGCAGCACCCTCTTCTTTCTGCACCTCTGGATAAAAGTGCAATGAGCCCAGGGGGCAGGAGGGGGACTCTCAGGGTCCGAGTCTCCAGGGAAGGTGTAAACATCTCGTTCGAGCTCCGTACTTTCTTTCCCCTTGGGCCTCGTCGTCTCTCCCTCGCTACTGTCGACCTCCTCCTCCTCCATTTGGCAACCTTCTTTTGGTTTTACTTTGAGCAGAAGTGGCTCCGATGCGTTCCAGCATCTGCCTTCTGCCGCTGGGAAGAAAACGGACGGAGGTAAAAAGAAAGGTATCAAATGTGAAGGCGGGTTTAGTTTCCTCCGTATGGTACTTACATTCCTTTTGGCCGAGCTCACACGTATTTGGCTCCTCTGTCGTTCTGCTCTCATTATTGTCGCTGTGCTCCTCCTCAGGGTCATCTGCATGGAAGTGCTGCAGTTTCTCACATTCAGGATCATCTTCGCTATCAGGCCTATGGGCGGAAACAGAGTCCTTACTCTTTGTCAACCCTGAAACTGCATCTCTGCATAAAAACAACTGGAAATCACTGATCAGGGTCAAAGTCTTACGTCTCTTTATCAGAGTCAAGCTAGCATTCTTTATCATCTTCCAGATAGGTTTATAGGCTTTACCCAAACTTATAGTACTACATGTAAAAACATGTGTGTCTTTATTTTTAAGCTTGCAACTTCAGGTAGAGTTTGCCCATCATAATGTCATATGTTGTATCACAGCAGATGTTGAAACTACGTTGCTACTTTTTTTAAAGTGTGTATATTTTGGGGATTATTAGGATTTTATTTCTATTAGAAAAAGGTTTACAGTTAAAAAGGATCAATGTTTTTTTTTTTTAAATTGTGGAGATAATGAACACTTTGTTCTGCGCCATACGTTTGGATCGCTCCGTTTCGGCTGCTCTGTAAGACTGCAGCTAAAATGAGCTCCGACTGGTCTCTGATAGAACTTGAAACTCACAAAAATAATAATAAAAATTAATGAAACTCAACAAATGAAAATCAGTCATTGCTTTTCAATTGTAGTTCACCGAACTTATTTAAAAAAAAGCAAACTAATGATTTCTGGAACTCTCTGAGACTTCTGCACCTGTCCACGGGTGATTTATCCACTCCTCATGATCAAACTATTTCCAGCAGGTTTAAAGGGTTCCTTCTCCAGATGTTTCAGCTCCTTCCACGGGTGTCCAACAAAATGTAGATCAGGGCTCAGAAGACCACTTCAGAACAGTCCAACGTTTGGTTCTTGGGTGTTTTAGCTGTGTTTCAGGTCAGGACCCATGACCAGAGTCTGACACGGGGCAGCACATTTAGCTCCAGAATACCTTGATAGTCTTGCGATTTGACCGTACCAAACATGTCTTAGTTTAACCTTTGATTAAATTATATTTAATCTTTTCTAGGAGCACTGTGCTTTTTGTCAAATCCAGTATTATTACTTTTTTTAACTATTTCTGTTGAACCAGAGTCAAAAAGCAAAACACTGATTTTCATTAGCTGACAGTCTTTTCATCACTTTAGTCAGTCAAGTCACTGCAGTGACCTTTTGTTTTATAAAACCAATTTGTCCACGACTGTAAAAGTGTGTTTCGGTGGTGCTTTTCATTTTACACAGAATTTATTTGAGTTGATTTGATTAAAGCTACAGAGCAAACAGAACTAAATACCTAAATATGTCATTTAAATTGTTTTACAGCTAATAAATAAGGCCTGATTAACAACTGAAATAATTCTTTATATTTATTCCATTACAGGCTAACTTTAACTTTACTTAACTTTACACACTGTCATCAAATCATAGTAGAAACCTTCAGAAGTTGGATCTGGGACTGACTCAAATTACTCGTGTTCCAGCTGCAGAGGATGTTTTAATAGGGTTTGGTGGCTGTTAGTAAAACAACCTGATAACGTGTTTCTCTGCACTTTATGCATTCAAATATCGCAGTGACACCCTCACTAATAAAGGATGAATGGACTGATTGAGAATCAAACCCACAGACGTGCTAATAATCAGTTTATTACTAGAACTATCTCCACGTTCTGTGTCTGAGGCAGCTATATTGGATTTTGAGGTCGGGGCTGATGAGAAACTTCTGACTACAAGTCAGAATTTCCATTTTTAATCTGTTCCAGTGGGTTTTTCCAACCAAGACTCGGAAATTCAAACTTAGGCGTCCAAATGGAGTTAGTCATTAAATTTATTTCTATTTCATGCTTCTTCAGACAGTGAGAGTAGCAAAAAATGGAATCAAATACTTGAAATATATTTAGATTATTAAGTTACGGGATTTTTATAAAGTAACACCAATAGATGGAATCTAAAGCTTGTGTTTCACTGAGCTGTGACTGTTGGTGCCAAAATAGGAACAGCGTTTGTGAGAAGTTTCCAAAGTATCTCCAAAACATGCCAAGGTTCTCAATGTCCTCGGGCGAGTCACAGGGCATCGTTCTCGTAACCCAAGAATTTTAAACATATAAGAAAAAATTAGCAAAACAAATTTCAAATTGGTCACAGAGTTGTTACGAGCATCTGGGGCCCGTCTCTAATCCTCAATTTAATTTCCACCAATCAGAAAGTGTGAGAACTGAGAAACAACTTTGGGAGGGTTTGGTCACCTGTGAAACCAACTGAGATGACTTGTGTTGTGACTTAGCGCTACATAAATAAACTGAATTGAATTGACAAAAATAGAGCGAGAAAAAACGGATTAAATTACAACATGACAGAAATAAAATACTTAGTGCCTTAATATGTGACCCGTTGCATCAAACCAAGGGTTCAGTCATAATGTGACTAGCTACAGTGAATTGGTGGAAAAATGTCCAAAAATTAGATTGTGTCAAAAATATGGTGAATAAATCCCTTCTCTATGAGTCCTATGAAGGAAATGTCTGAAGTCTATGTCTAAAGAATGTTTTGAAGCACTTCTCAGAGCAGTACCAACAGCTTACCATGATTTTGAGCAGAAAATACTTAACTTGTTGCTACTTTCTCTGCACGCTAGCAAAGCTAATTTCAGTACAAGCTGTGAAATCATGAAATGGTTTGAGGTTTCGTTTTTCAAAGGATGTCAAGAAATTCTTATTAGAATAAGTTAAAAGCTGGATTCAGACCCATTTTCCAGGGGTTACTCAGACAAGAAAGACTAGCGTAATTTCCGGACTATAAGCTGCTACTTTTTTCACACACGTTGAACACCGCGACTTATACAATGCTGAGGCTAATTTATGGACTTTTGTTTTTTTTGATGGGCTATCAAGCTTCATGACACTAAAACATTTAGCCTTGTCACATCCGGGCGCTCACATGGCTGCCCAATACACGCCTCTCTTGGGGGGTGGGTCCTCGTGACTCAGTGAGACTACCTGAATAAATATATCTAACAAAGTTGCCAGGTCCTTTGGACAGATTCATCTTGTTGCAACGCTTCATCTTTTATCCAAAACACTTTGTCAGTCTGAGGAGTTGCAAAAAACTCAGATTAACCAACCGTGTTACCGGACCTGTTCAGAAAAAATATTTACTGTACTTATTTGTGCATGTTACTGGTACGTATTTAATTAAAAGTTTAAACAATCTTTCCGTGTAAATATCTTGTGTCAGAATATGGACACCCGTGGCTTATAGACAAACGCAGCCTATATATGTATTTTTTTGTGTGTGGGCGTGGCTTATATTCAGGTGTGCTCAATAGTCCAGAAATTACAGTAATCAAGCCTTACCTTTGGAACAGGATGATCCAGGTATAAAAAATAATAAACATTAATGACAGATATAAAGTAATCTCTGACTTGACATGATGGGTCACATAAATAAATCTGCATGCCATTTGCAGTAATGTCGCAATTTAATTGCGGTTACGTGTTCACGCAAATATGAATGAGTACCAATTCAGTTTCCAAAAGAAAATTAGCCTCTTTTTGTACACAGCTTTTCCATTTAGGCTTCATTTTTGGTAAAAGATGGTGCACTTTCTTTCTCCCGTGACTGTTTTTATAAATATGTAAAACATTAAAGAACCTAATAAATCCTCTTTAAACTCCTCCATCAAACACCAGTTTGCGTCTCCTGCGCCTTCTCCTCACCTGAGTCCAGTTGAGGGAGATCCTGGGCTGTGAGCAGCCAGACCGTGAGGGTTAGAAAAGTTCTGTAGCTCCTCCTCTGACACCATCAAAGCACACAAAACACACAACCACAAAAACATCACTTCACAGCTCAACAGGTAAAAATCCACAGTGAAAAGCTGCTGCTCGTGCGCAGATTACAGAAGCAGACTGGAGGAAAAAAAACATTTAAAACAACAGGGGGACAACAAGGATGAGTATGACGAGCTGTTACACGCCAAGTTTAGCTAATTTTACAACTACTTCTAGCTTTTCTGCCTTATTCTGGGTTATATGTTGTTCAACTCTGATGAATAAAACAAAAGATCCTGTAAGTAAAAATAAGGACTTGGTTATCTCATAATCATGACTTAGTAACACCTTCATGGGGCAGTATCTTGGCAGAAATTCCAACAAATTTTAACTTTCTTCTAAAAAAAAAAAAAAAAAATCAACAGTAACTTTTGTAATAACCTGAGCTGTAAAAACACCTACATTTCTGTATAAACTGTATAAAAATGAAATATAAACAAAATCAAAAGAAATGGTAACCACTACATTGTGTCACCCACTCCCTGACAGCGCTCTTAATAAGGCAGGTAGACAGACAGAGTAGAAAGTAAGCCTCAGACAAACAGTCATTGTGTGAAAACTGGAGTTCGTACTGAATAAAGAAGCCTGATCTCTAAGTGTCACGAGTATAGCCCGACCAATATATTGGTAGGGCCAGTAATTTAGGCTGATATAGGCGTTTGGGTACATATCGGTATCTGTAATAACTGTCCCATTATTCGCTGATATAAGCATTTCTAATTTTCACCCCTAAAATGGATGTCTCCGGGTGAGTCCAGCGCCTTGACGGAATTACTGCCACTGAACTGTCTGTACTTTAACGCTCCGCGGCCATCAGGCCGGCGCGGTGGTGGATTATTAACAATATTCAAACCAACTTTTGACTGTAAACAACTGCCCATCCCAGTTTCCTGCGCCAGCTTTGAGCTGAGCGTCTTTGAACTCGGACATTCACCTTTGACTTTATGTGCACTCGTCTACCGCCCACCTCGATCTAAGGATTTCATAAATGAGTTTTCTGACTTCTTGGCTGAAATCACACCAAAATATGATCATGTTTTCATTATTGGGGACTTTAATTTGCATATGTGCTGTCAGGAGAAGCCCTTGGTTCACCACTGAGGAGCTAACATCCCAGTTCAACTCTGTCTGCTTAAAGACTCTGGATCATGTCGCGCCTGTTAAAACTAAAAAATCAAAACTCAGAGCAGAACCTTGGCTGAATGACATCACCAAGGCCGTTAGGCAGCAGTGCAGGAGGGTGGAGCGCAAATGGAGGAAAGACAGGTTGAAGGTCTCTTTTCAAATACTTAAAGAGAGTTGGCGCCGTTATCAGAAATCAATAAAAACTGCTAAATCCAAATACTTTTCTGATATAATTACCTCAAACTCTCACAACCCACGTGTCCTCTTCTCCACCCTAAACTCTGTTCTCCACCTCACTGAACCATCACCTCTGGAAGCCTCGATTGAGCTGTGCAAGAACTTCCTACATTTCTTTCTGGAAAAAATTGCGACCACCCGGGCTCTCATTTCCCCTCCAACTCATGACCCATCCATCCCACCTCAATCTGTAGCTCCATTTGACCATTTTGAACCCATCACTCTTTCTTCTCTAGAGCAGGTCATGTGCAGCTTGAAACCTTCTGGCTCCCCCTTTGATGTGGTCCCCCCTCAACTACTAAAGGAGGTTTTTCCTACTCTAGGTCCGTCCATTCTTGCCATAGTACACAGTAGTTTATCCACTGGCGTGGTGCCAAAATCCTTTAAACATGCTGCTGTCCAGCCTCTCCTGAAATAACCAAACCTTGACCCCTCAGTCGTGTCCAACTTCCGGCCTGTCTCCAGACTCCCATTTGTTTCTAAACTACTGGAGAAAATAGTTGAGTCCCAGTTGAAGTGCTTCCTGGAGGATCACGCCATCTTAGAGCTATTCCAATCTGGCTTTAAACCTCTCCATAGCACTGAAACTGCCCTGCTGAAGGTCTTTAACGACATCTTCAGATCCACAGATACTGGTGATTCTGTGTTGCTTGTCCTATTGGACCTTACAGCCGCCTTTGACACCATCGACCATGAGATCCTCATTGCTAGGTTGGAGCAGTGGGTGGGCGTCACAGGATCAGCCCTCAATTGGTTCAGATCTTACCTCGCTGACAGATGCTTTTGTGTCTCCATCAAGGATTTTAGTTCTGCAGCGGCAGAGCTTAAATGGGGGGTTCCGCAGGGGTCCATCCTGGGTCCCCTCCTATTCTCTTTATACCTGCTGCCACTTAGTGCTATTTTCCAGAAACACAACATGCCCTTTCACTTCTATGCCAATGACTGTCAAATTTACTTCCCCCTAAGACACAATGGTACATGCTCTATTCAACCTCTGCTCAACTGCCTGGCTGACATCAGGGACTGGATGACTTTAAACTTCTTAAGTTTCAATGAAAAGAAGTCTGAAGTCATGTTGTTCCCTCCCAACGACACGATCACAAACCACTGCATCGACCT